TATCAATGTGGGAAAATTCTTCTTATACCAGTCCTTCATCACATTAAACGAAATTAAGTGAATACATCTCATATAAAGATGATCTTGTTCTGTCCATTGTGGCACAAAATTCTCTACAAGCCAGTTCTGGTGATGAAAAATTAAATTCTTTGTGCATTAATGTTAGAATGCTACATCCTTGCAGTAAGAAAAATTCTAATGAAATTTAACGTAGCCTTCTTAATCATTGGCTGTATTATGTATCCGTATCTATTTGCTTCTTCACATTTCCCATAGGAACTCCGCTTTCAGTTTTGCTGTTGGATTCCGCGTACAGATCGACCAGAATACGGTTTCCAATGGGCGGGGTTTCCAGGACTGGCCACCACCGAGTGAGCTCGGCTCAGCCCTTCATAACCTCTTGCTGGCCGTTGACTTTGGAGCCGAGATCGGGCGTCTTTTTGTTGTACTTTCAGCTGAACAGGTAAGGTACAAGAGATAACATAAGGTTTTACATTTAAACTTGCTAAAAGTTGTTCGTAATAGTAGAGTTTAGAGACTACTAGTAAATCAGTCATATGAGATGTACTGGTAGTCTCAAAATTCTACTTATATACGAAAAAAAAGTAATGTAGTCGACTGTTATAACAAAAATACGTTTGCTTCATTGACAATCCCATCAAAGAATGTGATATGAGAAAAGGCTAGGCCTTCCTTCAAATTCACACCTGCCCCGTGACTCAAGGTCACTCGTGGCAATATGGCCGAGTGGTTAACGTGTCGAGCTCACATTCTGCACTGTCACGGTTCGACTCCCGCTTGGGGTGTTGATAAGACCTACGCGAGGTGGAAACGGCAGTCCACTTCAGAATGAATTATAACAACTTTTGGGAAAGCAAGGCTATGTGAAATTCAATAGAGACGTCAGCTCTACTCATAACCTTGTGGGAAAATTCTACTACCAGTCCATCATCACCTTAGACGAAATAGGGTGAATACATCTCATATACTTGATAAAAGTTGGCTTTTGAGAGCAATATTTTGGCCAGCTGCTGTATTGTTTCATACCTCGTGGGATGAACTATTGAAAAGTATGTCAGATATGGCAATAAATGTGCTATAGACCCGGGACTTATATACCTTGACTATGCCCCAAATTTAAGTTGATCGTTAGTTTACTTTATTCACTAAATTATTTATCACAATAGATTGTTTGAATTGGTGTGCGAAAATCATACTCTGAAAAGATGAAAAAAATTATTAGTCTACGAATTTACTTAAATCTTACTAAACTTGAAAAGACTTAATACGTAACGTTTACGATTTTAATGTATTCGTTTGGTAAATTCTACAAATTATTACATTTGACTTGCTCAAAGTTTCCTTTTTATCCCAAATCGAAAAAATTAGAATAAATAATGCCAATTGGGATTGTCAAGTTGAACAGATAAGTTATACCAGATTTTAATTTATTTGAAAACAATCAAAGGAAGGTGTGAAGACCAAGATAGTATGGCCTTTGTCTGTTCGCGTTATCCTTTCTTTACATAAAAGCTGACTATCCTTGCTTTTGCAATTTGGTCATATTTTCAAGACGACCTGAAGAAACGTACCTTGCCCAGAGTCCATAGCATGCATGATCACTTCCCGCATCCGACCGTAAGCATGGTACATTCCCAAACTTTTTACCAGCATCGTCAGTGAGCCTAACCAGTTTAAGCATCACACTACAATTCGTCAAAGAGACAAGTGAAGCAGATCCTTTGACCAATCATCTGCGAAACATTTGTGGTATCTCTCTTTCTCTCCTGGAGTATTCCCTTATCCTTTATGCTCGTGCCCTTTGGGGTGGATTTAGTGAAACCTATTCTAACTCCTCTCCTATTTTCTGCCATTTTCCTTTTGCATATTGTTATCTCTTGAATGTTGACCTTTAATAAGTTTACTAAAACACGTGCCACTTTTCCCGTAACCGAAGGTCGTTACTAACCGTCCTGAGGTTACTAGTCGCTTTATACGACTGTGCTGGGAATTTTGATCCAAGACTACTGTTTGGTCTGCAATACTCATCCTTCAGGTCATATCAGAGCCTTCCTTTTGCGCCGTATGATCCATTTATTATCGACATGGTTCAATGATTTTACTCGATCTCCGTCATCACATCCACATTGTGGTGCTAAGAATGGCTAGACTCACCGAGGATGGCGGCGACAAGTTTGGGAATGTACGAAGTCTACATTCCGCTGCTGGAAATCATCATGCATGCTATTGACTCCGTACAAGGTGCATTCCTCTAGGTCTCCATGTTAATATAGCCAACTTGCAAAAATGTGGTCAATCTAATTCTAAACAGAGGGAGCAATGACATTCTAGAAAAGTGAGAAATTGAGTCGAAAGATATTGCGTTATGAGAAGTATCTAATTAGCCTAACTGAAGCCAGGAGCTGCAATGGTCACCAATAAAATAAGTATGAAGTGAAAACTTCCCCAATCGGATGTTGCAAATAAAAGCGGTTTATAGATTTAATTTGCCACTATCATAAGTTTTATGTCTCGCTGATCATCATACATCTATTCGGGCAACTGAGAATATTCCAAGAATGTGGATTGTCATCTCTTAGAAAATTCGCAAACTATGACCCTTGCAACTGCAGTGTGTACTTTCTTGCTATAAGTAGGTGTTAGAGATGTTCTTCCGACACCCGACAGACAAAATCGGACCATGCTCAATCGCATTTCCTTAGATTCAACGTGGTTTCCATTTAGACTCGTTGACACAGAGGCGCTACCTCCACCAAGTCATTATTGATATTGCACGTATGTTGGCTGCCTTTCTGTTACATGCTCAGGACTCTCCTGATCTACCAGGTCACATCTGTTGACTGCTCTGAAACGCCATGCAGAATCATATTCTCTTGATATCTGGTTGCATTGTAGAATTACTCCTTTCTTCCTTCACCATATACGCGGCCAGAAATATGGGTCAGAACAACCTTCCTGAGGTGTCTTCTGATGAGATGAATTCTCCACGCATACCTTAAAACTATGTGAAGTGATGTAGAGACTTCTGCTATGTTGACAGCTCAATCACTCAATTTCCACTGAATAATCGTGGCTATTTGAGAGTTATTTATAACATCTCGTTGGAGATTCTGGTCTCAATCGTGCCAGAATCCTCTAAACCTCAACCAGCAAGCACACGACTCGCATTAGCGTTCCTCTTTAGGGCGTTGAAATGTGGGCTTCTCAAGATATTAGGCTTAAATTGCTAACATTTTGATTAGCATGTTGAGGCATAGTCTATTCTGCTTCACTAGCTATTAAGGATTTATATTCTGATTTTGACAGTATACAATATTTGATAAATAATTACAGACTTTGATGGCTCATCTTCATCAGCAAGATATACTCTAGCCTACTGACTCAGTTACAGGTGGCCTATAATCTTGCTTCTTCAGCTTTCTCGGGTCTTTGGTCTAGAGGAGGGGTTTTAGACGTTGATAAAATGTGTACCATGCATGAAGAGAAGCTCATTATAACACTTGGTGGGCCACCGTCTAGCCTAAAGTCTACGACGGGGCTCTATTATGAATCGTCCACAATGGCGATTTTCTTTAGCTTCAGCTACCAGGAATTTTCGGCAAGGCTCTTCTACCCCGCAACTCCTACAAACGTATCGCGCATTGTGTCGGCTTGATGTTCTTTGGTTGTATTTAATCCCACATAAAACTTTACTCCTGTATTTGGTTAATGAGAAGCTGTAAAATGTAAATAAGCCATAGTTCCTACAGTTATTGAGTGAAATTCATATCTCGCTACTTCGTTTTGTTCAAATCCTGGTTTTCGCCAGATTCTTTTGATTAATTAGGGACTTGATACAGGGTCATCCTAAAAGAAACGGCAGCTTCAATCAGGCATTAATCTAAGCATTTCCATCTGGGGCGTTGGCCTCAGTTATGGGGTAAATTTCAGCAAATAATTATGACATTCTTCACTATTGAATGGCATTGCGCCCGACCATATGGGCCCAATCTTATTTATTATGCTTTATCTGAAATCAAAATAGTTACGGATACTTGTTTTTGGTGAATCGTACGAGTATACGCATTTGTTACCGATTTTACAAGGAGCTCGTTTCATCAAGTATCCCGAGATACATTTGGTATTTTAGCTTCTTGCTCATATAAATTGATTGTGTATGAGTAAAAACCAAAGTCTAACAGTAAAGCGTTCAGAAAGACCGCACTCTTTATTTCGCTCTGTTCTGGGAACGACAAAGCAGACACATCTTTCGGATTGCCTTCATCCCATCCTTGAAAGTGTAAACATATTTCAAGTGCAAGCCCTCTAAGATCTTGTTTTTTTCCTGTTTCGGTGGTATCAAAGCCTAGCTCACTCTTTAACTACACTTTACATTCTTTTCAAAATGCTTTTTCTATCTTTAATTAATCCATGCTATGCCCTCAAACAGATATTCTTGATCAGCTTGAGCCACCGTCTTATGTGGTCAAGTCCTCGTATCACCCTGACGCACAGCACCTGGCATCGTCTCGAATTATCGCTTGCCAATGGCGATCTCTCGATGGAAGGCAGAAATGATAAATCGCAAACCGGTATTCGGGTAAGAGAATTTATTGCTTTTGGGCCGATGCTTGGCTATTCGGTGCTTATTCTTTGCCTCTAATCAGAACTTCTTTAGAACTGTCCTTTAGCCCCAAGCTCGGTTGGATCGGCTTTCACATTTTCGTTTCGGCTGATCATTTTTAGCTTTACTGCAAAATTGTTTAAGTATCCTGCCTTAGTAAGCTCTCGAAACACGTTATGACGGCAAATTGACAACAATTGAGTTTTTTATTAGTTACTTCGCATTTGCTGTAGCTCCCTGAGCAAGTACGAATCGTTCGCATTGCACAAGTT